AACGATCACAGGCCACTGTAGCGTCATTGACGTTAAGCGATCCCAGCTTGCAAAATTTACAAATTTCTCCTCGCTCATTTTGCAATTTGATCTTCGAATTCGGTTTAACAGGACTGGAGGCCTTCTCATTTAATTTTTTTCCTCTCTGACCAGCCATCATGAAATGCAAGAGCTAAAAAAAAGCACAAGCTAAAACTGAATCGAGTTGAGTAAAAATTGTAAAGTTTCCAAAGTGCTGTAAAAACTCGGTTACAGACTTGAGAGTAAGTGACTTTCAGTCAGCGGCTGAAAAGGTGTTCAGGGTAGGGGAGGTATGCCTGGCTATAAAACAAGGGCTCTATTGTTCTACGCTATTAAGAAAAGTTCCTCGTGTTTATTCCTCCTCTCTCCAAACGCAAGGGAATTTAGAGCCGGACCAAAGAGCGACTCTTTAGCCCTTGTGTTACAACCAATACGCAAGTCACCGTCAAGTCGGCACGCTACTCATAACTATTTCGACTTCGCGGCGGTGTTTTCGGTCACACGTGTAAATGCTTCGGTTCAAGAACTGCGGTCGTTTTCTCACTTTACGTGAATTCCTAACGAAATTTCTTGAGTTTAGATCCTGTATCTCTTTCGCATCCTACGCATCGTGCGGTTTCATGCTACGATAATGATGGTTATCACTTTTGTAATTTTTGGCAAACTCCCGTTGTTTGCCTATAGTCTTGAACGATTAAAGATTTGCCATGTTGTTTCCAGTTTGAAAAACTCCACACAGTTAGGTTTTCTTATGATCCCTCAACATCTTGGAAAAGTATCGATTGTACTAGTAAAATAAATATAGCCTCTATGTAAAATTCATTTTCATACTTGTCAATTTCGAATATTTGGTTTGTAACTTGTTTGCGCTAGCTGGCAGTAAATGTAGAAGATGTGTATAAACTTGTGGTATTTATTTTCAGTTATCGTATGCTGCCTCCTGTGCATCATTCTAAAGAAGAAACTGGGAAGAAAATCGGCACGTTGTTGCAGTGAGAGCGAGGCGCCGGACCACCAAACGAACGTCAACCCAAGACGCCCGTCGTCAGCGTCGACGAAAGACGGTCTGACGTCTCTGTCCGAACTCACAGGATTATCGCCGAGGTCTTGTTCAACCACTCCTTCGTCTTATTCCTACCATCTACAGGGAAAAGTTCACTTGGGTTCTACAGAAAAAACTGGACGCAGAGAGACGACTTTGTCAGTCATAGAAAACGGCCCGCCACAGATGTCCATTGTAGGTGAGTTTTTATTGACTGCAATTAAGCTCACCTAAATTTAGAGCTAACTTCAAATTTGTATGAAAAGATAACCTGATTTCTGTGTTACTGGAATCGCAAAAATTATTCTCATCTAAGTACTTATACTATCAGTCTGCTTATATCGCAAGTTTACAAGGATTTTAAAAGCAAAAAAATACCAAAATGATGGAGCTGGACTCCGAAACGTTTTCAATATCGATATGGTGAATTTGCTTGGTGTTTTCTTTGCTTTTAAATTCCTTGTTACTCTCATCTCTCTTGTGAGTTTTAACTTGATAACTTCACCTTTCGACAGGCATGGACCTCGTTAATTTACCACCCCCAAACGGCGGGTCCACAGACATGGAAGACCCGGACATACTTCTCCCTCCACCGCCCCTGCTCTTCAACCCCAGTGATACAACCTTCGGGTTCGATGGTGGAGGTCTGAACTCCAGCGCAGGTGCGTTCTACTTGGCTACCGGCATAATTTGCTGAAAATAGTAGATACATTTGGCAATAATTCTTGTCTAATTTAGGAGCTAAGGGGTAAATTACAAAGAGAGATATACAATTACTTTTATGTACTTTATAAATGTGAACAAAAACGTGATCAATTACTTGGGAACATCGTACATGTACACTATAGACGATTCCATTTATTTTAGAAAAACAAGGTATTTCAATGCAGCGCAGATACTTTTCAGGGCGCCTAAGTAATCTGTGTTGAAGTCTCGGTAAGCCTTTGGTTTAACAACTTCGTTAATGGGCCATAGGCAAAAAAATGCTGACAAATCTTTCAATGTTAAAATCTCTGGACAATCAATGTAATAAAAATCCGTGCACAATGATGTATGAAGGTCAATAACTTACTGCAATTGTGGAATGCTGCTTTATTTACGAATTTTATCTGTTGCAGGTTCCCTTCATTAACACAAGTTACGAAGACTTGACTGAAAACGTTAGCCGATTACCCAATGTTTTTACGAATTATTATTACAAATGCTACAGATAAAACCAATGAACTTTTATTTACCTTTCTCTCGTCTTTGCCTTATAACGGAAGGAACTAATTTCTTGGTTTTGTTCTTTTGTCGCCCTGGAAAGCAGCTATAATATACCACGTACCTGTGCTGGGGTAAGCATTAAAAATTACAAATACTCAACAATCTACACGAGTTCCGAAATAAGAGCAAATTTCGATGCGATATCCATCATGTTTCAAGCGTGAGTCAAGTTTTCAGTCCCTTCCTTGTACAAAATCTTAGATCCATCACCTTTAACCTCAGCATCCGCTGAATTGATGTGTTAGTACACACAATTGAAATTGGGTTCCGACAAAGCAAGCATCACCACTGAGCACTCGTCAAAAAATTTATCACTCGTTATCAGTGCTTGAAGTTGCAATTAACGCAACGGTTTAGGAGGTTCAACGATTAAACCCCCAAAAATATTCAGCCCAAAGAGTGTGGAGTGATGGAATAAGATGAATCGATCACTTATACAATATAAATCACCCCTAAGCACTCGGCATTAGCATTAAGCAATCGCTAATAGTGCTTAAAGCAGCAATGAACGCGTACAGTTTATGAGGTTCAACACTTATATCTCGGAAATATTCAACCCGGAGAGTGTGGACTGATGAAATAAGTTGAATCGATCACTTATTCAATGAAAATCACCACTCCGCACCCGACAATAACATTTAAAACTCGGCAATAGTGCTTAAAGCAAAATGGCCACGTACAGTTTAAAAGGTTCAACGCTAATAACTCAGAAATCATTCGACCGAGAGAGTGCGGAGCAGTGAAATAAAGAGAAGCAATCATTTGTTAAATACAAATCATCAATCCACACTCTCTGGGTTGAATATTTTCCGAGATAAATGAGTTATAGTGGTTTCAGCGTTTATTAGGCCGTAGGCCTGTCGCCGATTCATAACCTCGCAGAACATCCACAGCTTGTTGCGGTCTCGAACTCGCAACTCGCTGATTCAAATTCTGCTGTGCTTAATCGCCCGGCCTATTGGCCGATTCTGACCAGAAACTGGCGCACAGAGCTGGGATCGAACCCGCGCCTCTCTGCTCCAATCATGGTACTCTGAACTGTAACCACCGTTGAAACTGTGGATCATGAAGAGTCGTCAGGTTTCGCTAGAAATGACAGGAGATAAGATCTTTGAACACATATATGCAGAAAACAGGTATATTTGACACGAACGCTTTCATTAAAGTTTCTGGATTCAATATAATATGAAAGGTTGTGATTCTTTTAGCACTAGTGATATATAGTGATATTATATTACAGTGTCAGCTCCTAAAATTACGGAATCACTCGATTCTCCGCCGACCTAGATCTATCCATTGTTCGCCACGTGTTCTACACTCATGACATAACGTAACATAAGTTAACATAGTGGTGTCGGCGCTAAAGAGTAGGCCTGATGTGGCCTGTCGCCGATTCATGAACTTTTCGTGACTTGTTAACAGAAGATCTAAAATCGTGTCATTTGACCATATCTTTTCAAGACTGTCGATAGTTTGCAATAGCTACTAGACTTTCACCGGGTTCGATATGGTGCTACGTAGGCATTTCAGGTCTGAACATATATTTTTCCATAGCTTTATCTAGTCTGTTCTTGAACGCGTTCATAATCGGAGCGCCAACGATGTAANTTGCAGCACATTTTTTTTTCTGGAGCGACTTGTGTTTCAGTCCAATGCCTTCTTTCTGCTGAGTCCATGTGCAACATGTGGTCGTACAGTGTTGCCAGATAGGCCTTTTTCAGGCCAAATTTCGCAAGTGTGGCATTTTTTTAAATACTGACAAAATTTATTTGGCCTTTTTGTCCGTTTAGGGGCCTTTTTTTATGAAAAAGATAATTCTCAGCTTTTTGAAAACTGAGCCAAAACTCTCTTAATCCAATCGAATAGCTTTATAGTTGTTAGGTGGCAATTGAATCCTAAATATCATAGTTCTGACCACTATTATAAGGTTTTAACTTTTATTAACGGTCGGCGAGTAACGCGCAATTCGCTGCAGGCTGGCGCATGGCGGCTTATGTAGCATTGACGGTACTGCAGCTTGTACACTTGGTGAAATTGGTGTATTTTTTGCTGTCTGAAAACCTTGAGAGTAAATGCATGCACCGTAAATGGTTAGAAATTACCTTAAATTTAAAAAATTCTTATTAATTTCAAATTGGGCCTTTTTTGTGAGCTAAATTAGCCTTTTTCTCTTGCTGTATCTGGAAACCCTGATCACAGCATCGGGCATTCGCATTACATAGCATTCAGTGTCACAGTAGCCGTGGTTAGGAGTGGTGTGTAGAGGCGCTGGCGATGCTCTGGCACGTGAAGCTTCGCCCGGCTTGAGAAGGCAGTCGTGATTATATTTCCGGTGAATCTCTGAAGGATAAGTGCCCCATCGCAGCTGGTTAAACCTGGTTTGCATTGAAATCTGCCTTAAACAGAGGACCTGGAGTTCTTGATGTAAGTCATCCTTAAATATTTTATTAAATAATTTGTCAATTGATGCATAATTTTTCTCATCAGTTTTCTGGACATCGTCATAACGTATCAATGCTCGTATTGACCCATGAAAGTAAGTGATATATCTGACGCCTGTGCGACTGTACATGCCTGGAAGACGTTTCTGAACCGTGCATTCCGGACAGATGCCCGTATTTTCTATTCTTAAAAGGTTCCTTGTTGAAAATAACAAGCAATTTAGTGTAATTTGTTTTCCTATTGAAAGGTTTAGAAGTCTACTGATGGTCGTTATGATAATTACGTCTGGCATCAGCCATCTCACAGCGGCAGATATATAAACCCATGGAACAGGGGCCATACTTTCAAAAAAAGTTAAAAGATCGTAAGTTCATCAGCCAATCATTGATGGCCTTTCAAGCAAAATCCACCAATCATAGACAAGAAAATAGAGCGTAAGTACTTACGTTCACTTAGCGAGTTTTGAAAGTATGACCCCAGGTTTCAACCCTTCCAGACCGCGTTTACGTAACATTCATACCGGGTCGGGTTTTATAATTATATATGACCATCAATTTATCAGGAGAATGAGATCACTGCTTCCCTGCTTTTTGTACTAATTCATGATTTCTCCTCCAAAATATATATATTTTTTGGCTTAGTACTTGACATTATTAGTTTCATCTTTATTCTTCGTAAATAAACTAAAGCGTTCAGCCAACTGAAAGCCTTGGATGGATGCAGGAAAAGGAAAACGAATTTCATTCACTTATTTCTTCAGTCTAGAAATTGTACCCTGTTTGAATAAGTCATACCTGGTTATACTTATAAATGCAGTGAACAATAATTAACAATGAAATAATTTTAGTTGTTGAAAATTTAGCGCCCAATAGCGATTCCGCCACTTGAAGTAGGGACTCTAACAAGAGGTTCCGGAGCAATGAATAAAAAATACTTAATGGCCTGAATAAGTAAACTATTGCTGTGTTCGAAGGTGACGTTCATTTGGGATATAAATGAAATTTCTATTTTTATTTCTAATTCTACGAATGATTACGTATAATTAATTTACATTAAACTTTTAGCCGCTACAGGGCATGTGAAGCTGGCATTGAATATAAATACTTACTGTTTCATTTGCATTTTGCCCCAATGTATTGCCTCAAGGCGCTCTTTCCATTCGTTTCTATCTAACTGTGACAATTTGTGCGATATCCTTCAATAGGATTCAATAAGTCCCATAGAATAAATAGATTGATAAGTTCACTATTGACCCATTCATGGCTTACAATGTGGACTTCTATCATGCGATTTCGAGGAAAGGATTCCTTATTGAACTTAACTTATGTTAAAGGTTCCGGGAAGTTCCATTTTCTGGTTTGAAAGTTAGTTTTTTAGTCTTGTCTTCATGAGAATAGGTGCATTCTTAAATAGGGCTTTATTCTAACTTCTTAGTCGAATTCATTTTGGAATGGCGGAATATCGATGGTATATCATGCACCGAGGCCGTCTGTAAGGGTATCATGCACCGAGGTCGTCTGTAAGGGTATTGGCATGGTGCCGGAAACTCAATGAGAGGTGAAGAATAATACGTGGTCAGTGGTCGGCCTAGTCCAATTAGTTATAGCCGACTGTTGGCCATTCCTCGGCCAACTGAAAGCGACCAGTTGCCGCGAGAAAGGGGCTGGCTAGGATATCATATTACAAAGAGTACAAGCTCGAGTGTAGCGACTGGCCGAGCTTCGGGCAGATCAAGGATTTTACACGATGGTCGCGAAAACCTCGCGCTCAGACTTCGCACGGCTTTCAATCTGGGGCCATACTTTCAAAACTCAAGTGAACGTAAGTACTTACGCTCAATTTTCTTGTCTTTGATTGGTGGATTTTGCTTGAAAGGCCGTCAATGATGTGCTTATGAACTTACGATCTCTTATCTTTTTTGGAAGTATAGGCTCAGGGCCTTAAGTGCGCATTACTCCCATTAAAACGTTCAGTCGCCATTTTTGCTGCTCCAAAAAATTTCTACCCAGTAAAAATTTGACCTCCTTCCGTTCTAAACGCTTTATTTTGTTCACTACTTTTATCTGTCTTTACTTGGATACTGTTATACGGTCCAAGTATCTTCGATGTGAGAGAAATGGCGTAAAAAGTCTATAAAACGTTTTTAAGCGTTAGGAATATAATATCTCATCATTATATGGATTATTTGTATTTTGTCCATGCCTATATTAACTGCTGGTAACAAGGCCGTCCTGACAGCTGTAATGCACATGTATTTTACAAATGAATCGAATTTTTAAACCCACGATTAGAAATAGTTCTGGATAATTCGAAGAATTGATTGCATCGAAGATTTGGTAGAAGGTTTCTCTTTGACTAATAATAATTAGTTGTTTTCGATTGCACGGCAAATGCGCTTGTTTGGTGCATTACGAATTCCCAGCTTGTGTGGGCAGCACATCGCTCCCTGATCGAGCGGATACTAAAACACCTCCGACGCTCAAATGTCATCTTGTTGTCCACG